CATACCATAGAGAAATAAGTTATTCGTCTTTTTTATTAATGACTTAAAAGCAATTACTCGTATAAGTTTCCTCAAATTTCTATACATAAATTGGTATATATAATGTATTTGTATACTAATATAAATTAAGTTGTTATGCTGTTAAAAATAAAAAATAAATTGTTGGGAGAGTCCAAACTAAAACCCCATCCTTGCATTCTTACCCCATCTAGAATTTCTTGTAAAGTTGTGTTTTAAATTTATTTTTTATTTTTATTATTTAAGATGTTATGGTGTTACCATAAAATTAATGTGATGATAATTAAAGCTTCTTGCTATTACATAAAAAAAATAATAGATGAAGCTTCTAATAACTTCCTTGAAGTGAACGCATGACTAGATACATATTTTTCATTGGACCAACCCCATTGAAAATTTTCATATTTCTGTTGTTGATTTTTTCAAAATCGAACCAATTCAACTTCGTTGGTACTATAGAAGTGCCTCACCAGGAAAATATAGACGGCTTTCTAGAAAGGAAAAAGTTATAATTACATCATTTTGCATACTACAAATAAGAATACGTAGTATTAAAAAAAGGGAAATTCCAAGTAATAAGGAGCAAAAACACGTTAAAATTAATTATATTGTAGTTTCTCGCCGTTTGACAAAGGAGCAACATCTACGAGTATGCACCTAGGTACAGTTATTAATCACTTCCCTACTTTGTTTAGATAATATTCATGTGAATATGTGATCCTTTGTTTGACTGTACTCAAACTCTTATTTAGTTCTTGCTGCTACTACTATGCCAGTTTTATTATATTTTAGTTTTTACTTTTTTTTTTGGACATGAAAATACTTAAGGAATTATGTCTTCGATAAGTGTAATTACTAAATATATGAAGGGTCACTATCACGGAGATAATAAATTCATTCTTTTAGGTCGTCGTTGTCTGTTGCTAGATATGATAAATGATCTTTGAGATAGTCAAATAATCCAAAGCCCAATAGAATTGATCTTATGAGGTTACTAACAAGGGTATTGGGTTAAACAAGTAAGAAGTCCATTAATGGGCCTTATGAGGATATAATAGATCATGATTGCTGTTGGGCTAGAGTAGTTAGATTAGAGTTAGAAATTTAGGCTTGACATTGACTCTTATTTAGAGATATAATTTGTAAATAAGATCCATGATTAAGGTTGAAATAACACAATTAACAGTTAGGCATCGTTCTATAGAGCTGCTCTGCTCTGCTTTGCTGAGCCCTGCTCTACTCTGCTCAAAAGAAATCTGCTCTGCTCTGCTCTATTTTCAAATAATGACTAATAATAATAATTAATATTATATTGATGATAATAATTTATTATTTTGAATAATTATAAATATTAAAAATAATTTCAATAATTATTAATATTAATAATAATTAATATTTTTTTAATCATACTAATAATTAATAATAATTATCAATAATAATAATTAATGATTCAAACTATTAAGAATTGATATTTAATAATACTATTAATTAATAATTTCTACTAATTATAACAATTCTTTCAAAAAAACTAAATAATACTAACAATTAATAACAATTTCTTTTTATAAACATTTGATATTAGAATCACAATGTGTAGAAACATTTTATGCGGGTATTGATTGTTAGTTAGTTCATTGAGTTAAATTATGTTTCAAATCTTTCCATACAATTTAAGAATTAAAAAAAAGAGGTTGTTTCAAGTTGTACTTTGTATATCATTATTATTTTGAGGGTTAAAAATATATGATTAAGACATATTTATAAGTAAAATTATTATTACTCATTAAATCATTTTATTTTAAAATTTTTGTGAAATAAATATAAGTAAACCGTTGTCTTTTATATTTCTACTATTAACATATGTTAAATGTGGTACACATTTATTTATGTTTTTACTCACCTTTAGTCACCTAAATCAATGGTATACGCACTTAATAATAATAATAATAATAATAATAAGAATAATAATGAGAATAATAATAGTAATAACAATAGTAATAATAATAGTAATAATAATAATAATAATAATAATAATAATAATAATAATAATAATAATAATAATAATAATAATAATGTTGAAATCTGTTCTGCTATCCTAGCTGAAATCTGTTCTACTTTGCTCTACTGAAATTTAATCTTCTCTGCTCTACTGACCCCTAGTGGTGAAAGTTCGGTTTGCGGTTTGGGTTATAGCCAAAACCGAATCCAATCCGAATTAATTCGGTTTCGGAAATCTCAATCCGAATCCAAACCGAATTATGATTCGATCCAATCCAATCCAAACCGAATTAATTCGGTTTTTCAAATTAGAATCCAATCTGGTTAACTACATTCTTTGTAAGAGAGTAAGATATTGAGAAAGAAGAATTGAGAATTAGGGTTTTTTTTTAAGTTAATATATGAAAGGGGAAAGTGGTTGGATAATTTGAAAAAGAAAATGAGCTTAAATTATTGGGTCGAAATTCGGTTTGTAATTCGGTTTTCGGTTTTTTTAAACCCCAAACCGAATCCCATCCGTAATCCATATTTTTTAATTTTTTCAATCCGATCCAATCCGAATTAAAAAAAAATCCAAACCGAATTAGTAATTCGATTTGGTTTTCGGTTTGGTTCGGTTTTAATCCGAATTACTTTCACCCCTACTGACCCCTGCTCTACTATGCCCAAAAGCTCAAAAGAATAGGGCCTTAGTGAATTATTATACAAGGCAACAAGTTTTTCCGAAACCCTAACCTCCCTTTTCTCTCTCTCACTCACAGCTCTCCCTCTTATTCACAGGCCTCCCTCTTTCTCTCTCACCTCTGTATGGCCAGCCACCCCTATAGGTGGCTCGTGGTGTTCGTTGTGGCGGTTCGTGGTTAATTTGTCTTTATTCTCCGTAGAAAGTTGGTTGAAGGGTTCAATCACGACTAACTAGCATTTGTGGAGGTTTAATCATGTACCTGTGGAGACCAAGTAGAGGAATCACACTTGAGGTTCTTTATCTCCCAAATCCCGCTTCAAATACTTATTCTTTATGTGTTATGCAATGATTTTGATTATTGAATGCTTATAAATATGATTCATGCAATTTATCTTAGAGTATCTAAAGTCCTACATATACCACTATGTCGTCTATGCCTGTTATGTATAAACATATTGTTACTTTGACACATAATTAATCAATCGGGGAAACATGTGGCCAACAACACTTATAATTTGGGCTCTTGCCCTACCTTTCTTGTTGAAGCTATTGCCCTTCTCAATAGACACTTTCTTGCTAGAGATTTTAACATTATTATACATATTTTTATTGAAGGAGACAATCAAACTATTATTAATATTTTACAGAGCCATTTTATTAGTTGTCCTTGGAAGCTCCACCTCCTTATGGCGGATCTCAAGGCAATTTTGGATTCTTTCTCGAGTTTTCAGGTGCAACACATTTATCGGGAAGGCAAAATATTCTCTCTCGGCTACTCCACTCCGACTCATCAAGATGTCGACCCCTTTTTTAGATAGCAAATTTTCTTATTTTTACTTCTTGATAGTTTAGGTCACGACCTTCCGAGAAGACGTATCTAAACTACCACTTGTATCTTACTCTTCAAAAAAAAAAATCAATTTCACCCTTTTAACCAATAAATAAAATGACTTTCAAACCAAAAATTATTATCAGGCAGAAGCTAGTGAACATACAGGGCGTTAGATTTATAACATCCTTATTATTATTATTATTATTATTATTATTATTATTATTATTATTATTATTATTATTATTATTATTATTATTTTATTATTATTATTATTATTATTTATTTTTTTATTTTTTATTTTTTTAAAAAATTTTTTAGGGACAAGAACCTTATTTATTTTTTATTATTATTATTTTAATAATTATTATTATATTTATTATTATTATTATTAATCAAAAATTGACAAAGTCATACAACCTAAAAAAATAGTGGAAAGCCGAGATACCATATGGGTCCCCCTCTCCTCTATCTATAGAAAAGCCTCCTATCCTAGTGAAAATATGAGCAGCATCAGGTGCCTAATGTCTTAAGTAGTCGAGAATTTCTGAACCCGATTTAGCAACGCAACATCCCCCTTCTTTAATTCTCCAAGCGAAGAAAAGAAGAAGGGAAGAAAACCATATCCAATCTCCCTACAATTAGATTCATACTTGACCCACTTTCGATGAGCCACATCAGCTACATACAGCTTGTCCAAGAATAAAGTTTGATAGCCCAGACTGTGTCAAAGGAGAACATCCTATTATTAAGTCAACACATATATTACGACCATAATTCCAAGAATAAAGTAAAACATCTAAGGCCGAGGGCACTGTCGTTCCCCCCGACAACTGAATGTCAATCTCTTTCCTTAATGAAATCCTAGACCGGTAGCAAACATCAACAAGGATATCTCGAAAAACATTATGCCGATATTTAATACCCACAATATTGACATACGACGCAACATGATCACCGAAAATATCACCACTGAAAACACTTGAATAAGCAGAGTAGGACGCTAAGATAGAGACGAACAAGTTTTACATTGCACGGCTCATCATCTTAGCTATCCATTTAATGTACTTTATATCCTGACAACAATATTGATAACTAAGGTAAAAAGTGATGTTTGTTGCCATTATGTGAGAATCATAAGACAGTTAATATACTTAAGCTGTTATGATAATATCTAAATATGGATGACTATTATCCCATGTACAATCTAGAATACTCTAGAGTTGGGTATTTGGTCTTATCCGTTGATGGAACCTTAGGTAATGTACATGTATATATATCTCGTACTAGATGGAATATGAAAAACAACGTAACAATTTTCCCTCATCTCTCTATATTTTTCTCTTCCATATTTAACACGTTATCAACACCATTGCTTTAATTATCGGAAATCGGAGAAAATATTAATCAAATAATATATATAGAACTTCGTACACATTAGGTTTTTTTTTTCCTCCCGTTGAGTGAAAAATGTCGAACCTTGCCAAGCTTGAATTTGTGGCCCTTGATATTACTGGAAAGAATTATTTATCATGGGTGTTAGATGTTGAAATACATCTAGATTCTAAAGGGCTTGGTGAAACAATCAAAGAGGCTAATGAGGCAACACCTCAAGATAAGGCTAAGGCCATGATATTCCTTCACCATCACCTCCATGAAGGACTTAAAAATGAATATTTAACTGTGAAAGACCCACATATCCTTTGGAGTAACCTAAAGGAAAGGTATGACCACCAAAAAACTGTGATACTCCCTAGAGCTCGTTATGAATGGTTGAATTTAAGATTGCAAGATTTTAAATATGTTAGTATATATAACTCAGCTATGTTTAAAATAACTTCTCAATTGAAATTATGTGGAGAAAATATTACTGATGCAGAAATGCTTGAAAAGACATACTCCACTTTCCATGCTAATAATATTGTCCTGCAGACACAATATAGAGAAAAAGGTTTTAAAAAATATTCTGAATTAATATCTTGTCTTCTTGTGGCTGAGCAAAATAACGAGCTGTTAATGAAAAATCATGAATCACGTCCTACTGGCTCTACTCCATTCCCTGAAGAGAATGTGACAACCCATAACGGGAAAGAAACTAAAAACAGAGACTATTCCAGCAGTAGTGGTTGAGGTAGAGGTCGCGGTCGTGGCCAATGGTGCGGCCGGGGTCGTGGACATGGATATGGTAGAGGCCGTGGAGGTCATTTCACAAACTCACATTCCCACCAGAAGTGGGAACGTAGGGATGATAAAGAGAAAAGTGATACCAATATATGTTACCGTTGTGGAGGAAAAGGTCATTGGTCTCGGGTTTGTAGAACTCCAAAGCATCTTATTGAACTTTACCAAGAATCATTGAAAAAAGGAAAGAAAGTTGAGGCAAACCTTGTTCTTGAAGATGGTAAAGGTGATTTTGATTTTGGCAATGCAAATCATTTCGATGTTGCTAATTTCCTTACTTCCCTGGAAGGGAATAATTTTGATTTTGGCAATACAACTCATTTAGAAGTTGCTGATTTCTTCATTGCCCCAGAAGGGAATAATTAATATTATATTGTTTTGTGTCAGTTTTAAGTATTAGACTTATGTTTGCTTATTCTAGTGATTTACTTAAGTTTATTTCTTTCGTTGTAATAAGGACTTTTGCTTTATAAATTTATGAACTATTTAAGTGTTTTTATTGATTTATGTATTTTATCATCTTTATTTTTATGCTTAATATTTTGACATGTATTTTATTTCATGAAGAACATGGATATTACTCAAGTTCAATTTGCTATGAATGGTGAAGAATAATGTCTTGCTGACAGTGCAACTACTCATACAATACTTAAAAATAAAAAAAAATTTCTCTCATTTGATGATGAAAAGGACTAATGTGAGTACCATATCGGGTAGTACAAATATCATTGAGGGCTCCAGAAGAGCCACTATAAAATTGCCTTGGGGAACTGAAATTAAAATAATGGATGATTTATACTCCCCATTGTCTCAAAGAAATTTATTAAGTTTTAAGGATATTCGCAACAATGGTTATCATATTGAGACAATCAATGAAGAAAATAACGAATTCCTTCAAATCACAAATATAACTCAAGGCTCAAAACATGTTTTGGAGAAACTACCTACATTCTCTAGTGGTTTGTACTACACAAAAATCAATGCTATTGAAGCTCATGCTATAGTAAACCAGAAGTTTACTGATAATTTTGTTGTTTGGCATGACCGGTTAGGCCATCCCGGTTCAATAATGATGCGAAAAATAATTACGAATTCATGTGGACATTCTTTGAAGAGCCAGCAGATTCTTCATAATAATTTTTCATGTGCTGCTTGCTCAGAAGGCAAGTTGATAATTCGTCCATCACCAGCTAAAATTAATTTTGAATCAATTAGCTTTCTGGAACGTATACAAGAAGATATTTGTGGGCCCATACATCCCCCATGTAGACCATTTAGATATTTTATGGTTTTAATTGATGCATCAACTAGATGGTCACATGTGGCTTTGTTATCAACTCGTAACCTGGCGTTTGCGAGATTACTTGCCCAATTGATTAAGTTACGGGCACATTTTCCAAATACTCCCATTAAGACAATTCGGCTTGATAATGCTGGTGAATTTACATCTCAAGCTTTTAATGATTATTGCATGTCCATTGGGATAAATGTTGAACATCCTGTACCACATGTTCATACACAAAACGGTCTGGCAGAGTCATTAATAAAACGTATTCAGTTAATTTCTAGACCATTGCTTATGAAATCCAATCTCCCAATCTCTGCTTGGGGACATGCTATATTACATGCAACAACACTAATTCGCATTAGGCCAACAAGTTATCACAAGTTCTCCCCATTATAATTGGTTTATGGTCAGGAACCAAATATTTCCCATCTAAGAATTTTTGGATGTGCGGTTTATGTTCCAATAGCTCCACCACAACGCTCTAAGATGGGTCCTCAAAGAAGGTTGGGGACATATGTTGGGTTTGAATTCCCGTCAATAATTAAATATCTTGAGCCTACAACAGAGGATTTATTTACGGCTCGTTTTGCAGATTGTCATTTTAACGAGTCACTTTTCCCAACATTAGGGGGAGAAAAGAGAGAGCTGGAAAAGGAAATTAAATGGAATGAATTATCATTATCCTATCTTGATCCTTGAACTAAACAATGTGAATTGGAAGTTCAAAAGATAATTCATTTACAAAGTTTAGCGAATCAATTGCCAGACTCGTTTGCTGACCCAAAAAGAGTGACCAAGTCACATATTCCAGCTGTAAATGCTCCATTTAAAATAGAAGTCCCGAAAGGAAAAAATAAGTTTGCTAATGAGTCTAAAACACGTCAGAAACGTGGAACACCAATAGGTTCCAAAGATAAGAATCCTCAGAAAAGAAAAAGAGCATTGATTGATGATGGTCAAATTGAAGAAACAATTTCTGAAGGATCTCCAGAAGAGACTTTAGACATGATACAAGAAGAAATTAAGGTACTTGATAATGAAGAAATTTCAATAAATTATATCATGTCTGGAATTACATGGAACCGAAATCAAATCGACGTCGATGATGTTTTAGCATGCAATGTAGCATTAGATGTTATGGATAATAATGAGGATCATGAACCAAAATCCATTGAAGAATGTAGATAAAGAAATGATTGGCCAAAATGGAAAGAAGCAATTGAAGCAGAATTAAAATCTCTTGGAAAAAGAGAAGTATTCGGACCTGTAGTCCATACACCTGAAGGTGTAAAGCCAGTGGGATATAAATGGGTCTTTGTGCGAAGAGAAATGAAAAGGGTGAAGTTGTAAGATATAAGGCACGCTTAGTTGCACAAGGATTCTCACGAAGACCTGGTATTGATTATGAGGAGACATATTCTCCTGTGGTGGATGCAACTACTTTTAGATTTTTGATTAGCCTGGCAATAAGAGAAGGACTTGACTTACGTTTGATGGATGTAGTCACAGCTTATGGCCCACTGGATAATGACATTTACATGAAGCTCCCAGAAGGATTCAAACTTCTAGAAGCAGCAAAATCTAGTTCTCGAGAACATTTCTGCATTAAATTGAACAAATCTCTTTATGGATTAAAACAATCTGGGTGTATGTGGTATAACCGTCTAAGTGAGTATTTGTTGAAAGAAGGTTATAAGAATGATCCTATCAGCCCATGTATTTTTATAAAGAAATTTGGATCGGGATTTGTTATAATTGCAGTGTATGTTGATGATTTGAATATCATTGGAACTCCTAAAAGATTTCAGTGACTGTCAATTATTTAAAGAAAGAGTTCGAAATGAAAGATCTAGGAAAGACAAAATTCTGCTTGGGGTATGGAATCCTTGTGCATCAATCAACATACATAGAAAAGGTTCTTAAAAGATTTTCTTTGGATACATCACATCCATTGAGCAGCCCTATGATTGTAAGATCACTTGAAGTAGAGAAAGATCCATTCCGACCTCGGGAAAACGATGAAGAAATTCTTGGTCCTGAAGGACCATATCTTAGTGCAATTGGAGCACTAATGTACCTTGCAAGTCATACACGACCCGACATATCATTTTCAGTTAATTTATTAGCAAGGTTTAGTTCATGTCCAACCCGAAGGCATTGGAATGTGATTAAACATTTACTTCGTTACCTTCAAGGTACGAAGGATAAGGGTTTATTTTTCCCAAAGTTGTCTAAAGAAAATTTGATTGGTTTTTGCAGATGCAGGTTATTTATCTGATCCTCATAATGGTCAGTCACAAACTGGATATGTGTTCACATATGGTGGCACTGCCATTTCTTGGCGTTCCATGAAACAAACCATTGCAGCTACTTCTTCCAATCATTATGAGATTTTAGCAATTCACGAGGCTAGTCGTGAATGTGTATGGTTAAGGTCGGTACATCAACATATAAAAGAAGTTTGTAGTTTATCATCTGGGAAAGAGGCACCAACAACTTTATAAGAGGATAACGCAGCTTGTATTGCTCAACTTAAGGAAGGATACCTCAAAGGAGACAGAACAAAGCACATCTTACCCAAATTTTTCTTCACTCATGATCTTCAGAAGAATGGAGATATAAATGTATTGCAGATTTGTTCAAGTGAGAATTTAGCAGTGTACGGAATATTTCAAGCATTACCCCTAACTTGAACCCCACTGTGATCATACACTAAAGCATGGTGGCGTCCAAAGGGAAGGAAGATAGAGCAAAAGAGTCGCCAACAAGTTTTAGGAACTTGTAAACCGTTCACGAGGTGAAGGTTACACCCTTTAACGATCCAAGAGATCGTCAATTCCAATAGGTCTGGAACCATGACTGGTAGTTCGGGGATGAAGGTACAAATCCAACCTAAAAGAGATTGAACCTGCCCTAATAATAGGCCTCTAATTTATTCTGATCGTATTCATGTGCGCTTTCTGACTAACATGCAAGCAATAGGTTTAATCCTAAACCTGTTTATCTATGTTGGTTGAATATTAATGCACAAATAAGTCTATTATTGGTGATCACTTGAATTATAATCAAATTAACCCTAAACAAGGTTATTAATTATCTTATTAAGCGTTATTACAAGTACAAATTCCCTTTAAACATGAATAAAAGGCGTGATCAAGAAATAACAATAAATATAATCAAACAACATAATAATCATCATAAATAATAATTATAATAATAATCATAAATCATAAAAATAATCATAATAATGTTAAAGCATAATAACAGCAAGATCCTAGGCATGATACTAACAAGATTAATAACAAACCCTAGCATGTCACTAAACATCAAAGATCAAAGATTTAACCCTAACATGATACTAACATGAATATTAGGAAAAAATATAAGAAGCATCATAGAAATCATAATTATCGTATTTGATATTAGAAATTATAGTTATTACCATAAACATGATACTAGGAAGATCAAAACGTCCTAACATGACACTAGGAATCATAATAACAACCTAAGCATGATTTCTATATCATAAAATCAATAAATCATTAAAGCACTTACTTGGATGCCTCGTATCTCTTTCTAATAACAAAATATACGCGTTAGTAACTTCAAGGAAAATAATAAACAACAATTAAATTAAATAATTGAAAGAGAGATTTGGGAC